GTAATAGAGTGACGGGGAGGGGCCCTGACCGTCCGTCAACATGTGATGGGTTGGGAGTTAGAATGTGTGTGTGTGTGTGTGTGTGTGTGTGTGTGTGTGTGTGTGTGTGTGTGTGTGTGTGTGTGTGTGTGTGTGTGTGTGTGTGTGTGTGTGTGTGTACGTACATCATTATATCATGACGGGGGGTTATTGTCAGTCAAAGTAAAAATGTTGAATTTATTTTCTTGTAATTTTTTTCTTTCTGAAATATTCCAACAATTTTAAAGTTCTTATTTAGAAATATATAAATGGGTATTCTTTGTAGCTTTGAGATGTTCACACGCTCTGCTCTCACCGTCAGAATAAACACTCAGATAAGTTATTTCAGTTTATTATTCACCACCAGAGTAACAGAACATTTTAATATAAAAAACATTACGTTTACTAAACAGTAAACAGTGAAAAGTATGCTAAATAAAATATATTACATCTGTATTAAATACAAAACTCATTGTTATTCAAGTTAATACAGTTTATAAATTGCAGATAAAACAGATTTTAAATTTTGAAAGAGTTTAAAATAACATATTTTCTACCAGATTAGATTTCACTACCTCTGTCTGTTAGCATTAGCATTAGCATCACAATCTGACACAAAATGGGTTAAAAATGGCCGATGTGTCTTCTTGTCATCAGTCTTTTGTCCCTAATAGGCTCCTCCCCCCCATCAGTACATGAGGTCACCCCCTCCATCAGTACATGAGGTCGCCCCCTCCATCAGTACATGAGGTCGCCGCCCCCCCGCCATCAGTACATGAGGTCGGCCGCCCCCCCGCTCAGCTCGCTCTCTTTGCCCCTGAAGGGGAACTGCACACCCGTCAGGCGGATCAACAGGAAGTTGACGGCGTGCAGCAGGAAGACGAGGAAGAAGAGCCAGAAGCAGCGTCCAAATCTCTCGCTGTGCGTCCGGTACACGAAGCTCGCCTCGTTAAAGTTAACGATCCGGTCCGACAGGCGGTTCAAACTCACCTCCGAGGCAAAGAGGATCATCACCAGACAGCTGCTCACACCTGCACACAGGAAGTCACCTTTACTACTCTAACATCACACACCTGCACACAGGAAGTCACCTTTACTACTCTAACATCACACACCTGCACACAGGAAGTCACCTTTACGACTCTAACATCACACACCTGCACACAGGAAGTCACCTTTACTACTCTAACATCTCACACCTGCACACAGGAAGTCACCTTTACTACTCTAAGATCTCACACCTGCACACAGGAAGTCACCTTTACTACTCTAACATCTCACACCTGCACACAGGAAGTCACCTTTACTACTCTAACATCTCACACCTGCACACAGGAAGTCACCTTTACTACTCTAACATCTCACACCTGCACACAGGAAGTCACCTTTACGACTCTAACATCTCACACCTGCACACAGGAAGTCACCTTTACTACTCTAACATCACACACCTGCACACAGGAAGTCACCTTTACTACTCTAACATCTCACACCTGCACACAGGAAGTCACCTTTACTACTCTAACATCTCACACCTGCACACAGGAAGTCACCTTTACTACTCTAACATCTCACACCTGCACACAGGAAGTCACCTTTACTACTCTAACATCTCACACCTGCACACAGGAAGTCACCTTTACTACTCTAACATCTCATACCTGCACACAGGAAGTCACCTTTACGACTCT